GGAAAAGCCAAGCAACTCAGTTAAGAGATTAAGCTTTCATAAGAGGCTGGGATGAAGCCATATAATAAATTTTAGGCTGATGACCTTTCAAAGAGAGGCTTGGAGGGAGAGCAGAGATTAGAGGTTTGGCTTCATATCCATGTAGAGTTGCTTGGTGTAATTCTATAGGGAGTAAGTGATTGTTTGCAAGGGTATTGTGGACTGAAGGAAGAATATGATACATTGAAATTTTGTTAATATTTTTAGTTTGGAATATTATCTATACTGAAAAAAGCTTGTCCTCTCATCTGCAGCTATACAAGTTGAAAGAAGGTTTATTCAGCTGAAACATGGTTTTTTTTAATTTTATTTTTTTTATAGACGAGCAGGGAGTTGTCCACTGCTATCAAGAAGATGGTAATCAAGGGCAAGATATAAATCACGAGTTAAGTATTCAAGAGTAACAGATCTGAGGCAAGATGGCATTCAGTTTTCAGAGATGGCTGAGCTCTTTTTTTGTGCAGCTGGAAGTACTGGAGGTTGTAGTGCTGAGAGCATGTTGATTGCACAGCTTTCCAACTCTGCTTCCCCTGGGCACATCGGCATGGGACCACGCTGCTAATTCCTGTACTTGTCTCCAGCTCTATGTGCTCTCCTTTTGGTCTGCTGTTTTCTGCTGTTCTGGGGACTCAGTTTACATTTACACTGGCTCATTACACAATGCTACCTTTAATATACATTAGGACCCCTTATAGTGTAATTGAGAGATGCTTTGTTGTTCCTTTCCTAATTGATGCAATGAGAGCTGTCTGCAGAGACATCAGTATTAAACATCAGAAGAGTTTTTGAAGTAGAGCATGCATCTGATGAGCCATGCGAGAGTGTTGCAGGGAAGGAGATCTATGCTGGCATTAATAAATGAAAACAGCCCACCTTGTTTGAACAGAGAGACAAATGAAACATTTGTATCCTTGGTGATTTGGATGCTGGCAGAGATGTTTTGTTTGTCAGTCCTTTGACTTCAGACACTGTCTTACAATTTTCTCTCAGAATATGTACCAAAGAAAAAGGAAGGCAAGGTCTGTTTTTTATTTCTTTACATGTTCAGCAGGAAGGCAGTGATTTGTATTCAGACACATCACATTGTTACATTGCAGTTGTAATCCCATGAAGTGTGATAGGTCTTGAAAGATGAAAAAGTCTCTGCGGGACAGTCACTCTTGGGGAATTCACTTAGCAGTTTGTAGCATGGCTTTCCAAGTCAAATCAGAGCTGCAAAAATCCCAACATCTGTGGTGCATGCTCTTACTTTTTAAAAATCAAATATAAACATAAGCAGTAGGAGCCCTGTTCCTGAGCTGTAATGTATGAGCTTTGTCATAGTGTCATTAATATTTTGTGTTTCTCAGCACATGCTGACTGTTGATCTGTGACGTTTGGCATTTGGGCTTTGCAGGAACTCATGCAAATGTTGCCTTCAGTTTACATGTTATGTAAATTCATTCCTTTTGTATCACTTTCCTCATCCCCTCCCAATTTTAGTATAATTTGTAGCTTCTAGTGGACCCAGGCTCAGAGTACAGTGCAAGTGGAGAAGTGAAGTTTTCATCTGATTCTGCATGAAGGGCTTGTGTGCATGAATTTTAGACTCAGCACAAACCCATAAGGCCTTTAAATTTGCTTATGTCACATACCTGCACAAAGCTCTGCAGAAATAAATCTTTTTGCTGAGTTTGTTACATAATTTGGATGTTTAATTACACTCATGAAACTGCTGAGGTTATTATAATTCATTGTTTTGTTAGCTGCAGGTGAGGCAAGGGAAGGCTGCAAAAAGAGTTTTGTGGTAAGACTTTTACTTAATATGCTGAGCTCTTCTGTGTTTTTCCCATGACAGCTTGTCTGCCAGGTTACATTCCTGAGATTCAAATATCACTGCAGCTAGACATCTCTTGAAACCTGACCCATTTATTCTGTTCCTACTCATCGCATTTTGGTGTGGAGGCTCACATTTAACTTTTCTGCACAGGAAAAAGTTGGAGGAAACTACATTTTCACTTTAGTTTTTCCCGAGGAGGGCAGAAAAGCTGCTCTGCAAAGTGGAAATTTTCTGATGAAGCACAATTTGTTCTGATCTCAGGGTGCTGCAAATAAAAGCATGAAAAGAATGGAAAAACAGTAAGAGCAAACTTCTCACTTTTATGAAATCTGCTTTGTGATGATGGAGCAAATTCAAATTGCAAATTCAAATCAGGTCCTAAAACCATATTGAGTAAAATAACTAAATGTTACTTTATTGAAACATTTTAACCTGAGCATCCTAAGCATGATGACTTCAGCATACATGGAAGACCATAAGAAAATCTCACTGTTTTGTTTAAGGTTTTCAGATTCAGAAAGAGCTTAAATGAAATTTAGCCTGGAGTAGAATACCCCACAGATTGTGTCTGTGTGCATTTGAATGAGTGTGTAACTGCAGTGGAAGCTCCCTTTAGCCAGCTCTCTCCATATGGGTGAATTTTACCTGGGCTGTCTCATCCCAGAAGGCAGCAACAGCTGGTGGTGTTATGTCAGAAAATGGAAAATAACTTCAGAGACTCAAAGTCACTCTCCAGCTTCAAAGCCAGATATGTAAGACAAGTGAGGGAATGGCAGATTGCAACAAATCAGTCTTTGATTAATCTCTCCTGGACTGTTCAAACAAATTTGCAATTTTTACTAAATACGAGCTCGGTGTGCTTCATTGATGAGAACAGCATGTATCTTATTTTTATGCCCAGATCTCACTGCAGGCTAATGCCACCTGGCATCAGTGCTGTCTTGAAGCTTTTCTTCAGTTCGTTAGAGACTTGATTTTGCAGCTGCTGATGCTTTTTGTTGCCCCCTCCTCAATGGATTGTATAAACTTTTCTTACAAGCTGCAGAAAGCAATGCTCCCAAAAGGAATAGGATGGCATTTCATGCGTGATGAGCCCTCAGCTGGCTCTTGGGAGGAGCTGAACTTAGAGGTTTCTCTTTGACTCCTCACATCCTGTTCTGTAGCTTCAAAACCAGCAGTGCTGAGATAGATTTTACATGCCCCTCAAGACTTCCCAGGGAGACTTTATGTAGTTGTGGAAGGAATTGTGCTTTGTTCCTGTGAGCCCTTTGCCCGTGTGGCTGCTGGCTGGGTTGGGCTGGGTTCAGCAGGGCCATGCTTTTCTGTTATCCTGTGGAACAGCTGTGCTGCTGGAAGAAGCTGCTGCTGGGGTTTTGTTAACACTCTGTTCTTCCACACCTCACCTCAAGGCTGGACAAATAAAGTGGCATTAGTAATATTATCTGATGCAACTATCAGTTCCATGCCAAGTGGGATATCTCTTGAATTATCAATTTGTTCAGCTGTGCTGCAGCTACTATGAAAGATCCCTAAGGATTTTTGTAGGCAATGTGGACAAGGATGGCTCTTTAATTTTGCTTTCAGGCATAGTTCAACTGTCACTAAGAAAGAAAGGTCAGTACAGAAACTAGAGTGAAATGTGAAGGCTAAATTAAGGAGAGAGAGGTCCACAGGCAAGTAACAACACTCTTCTGACTATCTGATGAAGACAGACATAAGCATGTCTACATGCAAACATTTGCTTTTCTGATCTCTCCCATTTTATGTGGATCTTCAGTTCTCCTAGGAAAGCAACATTAGACTAATTGAAATGCTACCTTTAAAAGCAACAAATGTCATGATATATCTTAAAGGCTTTCAAAGAATCAAATGCCATTCATGCTAGGAAATAAGGTACAGTCTATATAAACATTTTAAGCACTGTGAGATAAACAATAAATGTTTCCAAAGCCAGTAGACTTTCTTGTATTTTAAACTAAGTTTTAAAATGATTTTGCAGCGTTTCCCGGCAAGGTGAGGGTAGAAGTAGGACTCAGTCCCAGAGAAGTTATTTTTTTTCCCTAGGGAGTACTTAGCAATGGGAGCTGTTTGAGTCCCTTTAGAGAGCAAATGGCTCTCAGAATAGTCACTACCACTATTAGTGTCTTGTCAATTGAAATAATATTCATCTTCTCATTAAATACCAACATGCAACTACACTGTTGTATCTTTATGGAGCTCCTTCTCTTGTTGAATGTTTTACTCATTCACACCAGGCAGCCAAATTCTCTAGTACATATGTGTGCTTTAGGATAAAAGATGCATATGTTAGAAAGAGAATTGGCCAACATTCAGGGAACTTTACTGAAAAGGCTGATTCTTTTTCCCTGTCAATAACTAAAAAATAGTTCTAACAATAGCCTGATATAGATTTGCAGTCATGGTGGTATTTGGGGAAGAACTTGGGGTTTGTGGGCTATTGATGACTGTCCTTCTGAACAGTGTTAGAGAGGATTAAAGTAGAATATTTTTTGTCATAGCCCCTTTTGTCTTATCATGAGCTGGGAATGGCATTGTCCTTCCTTCACAAGACCAGCAAAAGTCCATTTGGCTTCCTCTGAGGATAAAATGTGGTCCAATTTTGTTAAAGAGTGTATTTATTCTTAGGAAGTCCTAACTTTTGTTTAATGGCTTGAAAATAGACACACATTTTAATCAAATTTGGTCCATTTTTTTCCTACAGATGGTGCTATTTTCCCATGAAAAATCTTAAAAGTTTGAAAAATCAACTGCCTTCAATGCCAATTCATTTTTAGTCCAAAGGAAAAGGGATGTTGCAAGGACTGTTAGACTATGGAGGTGTGTTGTTCTGGTAGTGCATGGAAAGGAAATGGAAGCTCCCCAGTTCCAAAGCTGTCCCTTTCTGTTTTGTCCAAGCAGCCTCTCAATCTGAGCTCTGAAGTGCTGTCACATACTGCAATAGGTTCATACAGTGCTGGGATTTATTTTGGTGAAACTAAGTTTTGTTATTAAGTGCTCCTGCATGCAAACAAGTGGAAAATATGGCTTCCAGAACTTTCTGTGTTTTTGTATTTCTGAATCTATTTTATCTCTCATTCTTTGTCATGACCCACTCTTTTATTGCTTTTGAAATATCCAGTGGTCAAAGCAGGGAGGTGAATGTTCATTCCCCAACCCAGGAACTAAACAAGTCTGACTGTTCTCTTAAGGTGCAAGTTTAATGTATTAAATGCAGTAGGCAGAGACTGAGCATGGACAGGAAACTTGTGCTTCTCAGTCCTTCTCACTCTCCTGGTACAACCTCACAGGATTTGGGTGGTGGTCAGCCTGATAATCTGTTCTGAATGATGCATTCTCACTCTACCTTTTCCTCTTTATGTTGACAGACTATTGATTCCGTGTGCTCCTCTTAGGAAAATATCTGCAGCTATTTCTAACACATAACACAACGTGACTGATCCAGCTTGTTTCATGAGATGTGACTGCTGTGTCAGGTAGGTATAAAATTATCTGTGAGGATGCTCCTTGTAATAACAGCCTGTTGCCCCACTTGTGCCACTCAGTACTTTTTCATTTCTGGCTTGTCTTGAGTATAAGTGGAGCTTGCAGTCTCCCGGATTGCCACTCATACAGAGAGCTGTTATGTGGGCATACCTGTATTAAAAAGTTCCCCCAAAAGTTTTTACATTTAAAGTCAAATTCTAAAAAAGCAGCAACAGCCCATATTGTGTTTGCTGTCACTTTCTGAAAATCCCATTCCTGGTGTGTGCTGTGAACAGGTCTTGTTGGTGCTGATTCAGGCTCAGTCTGAATCAGAAGTTTGTCAAGAGAAATTTCTGAGACAGAACCTGAAATGTCAAAAGGACAGTGCTGAATTAAGAGGAGTCGCCCTTCTCTGGAATCACACAGTGGGAGAGCAGAAAGCAAATCTCATTTCTCCTCATTTCAGACCAGTGAGGGTTTTGTTTTGCATTTTTGTCTTTTTTTGGTTTTTTTTTTTTTTTTAAACTCGGTGTGTGTCACAGGCTGGCGAAGGCTGAATGTGTCCCTCTGTGGAGACAGTCGCTGCTGGAAACAGGCTGTCACCAGCAGAGTGTGTGACCAAAACAATACAGTTTTCTTTCTTTTCCATTTTTCTCCTTTCAGAACAACTCCTAGATGTTCTGTATACTGGCTGTCAGGAGGAAAAGACAGATGGTGTGACAGTGGGAGAACAGTCTATTTTAGCACTAATAAAAATGGGTCCGGAGATTCATATATGGCAAAAAATTATAAACTGGGCATAGCAGAGATAAAGCAAAATAAGCAGTGACCTTTCAGTGTTAGAGCTGCACAGGGTTTTTTTCTTTTGCATTTGAAATTTAGAGTTTTCAATTCTCCTACTGCAAAATATCTATTAAAATGATGCTAGTCCTGGTGTACAGTTTAACTCCTATTTCGAATATTACTGATCAAAATATAATTTGGTCACAGAAAGTAAAATATTCCCTGTTCAAAAATGTTTATTCTCCACATGCATCAGTCCTAAAACTGCTTGCTCTGTGCATTTTGTGTATATCAAAAACAGGAATAAAAATGGATGTTGCCCCAATTTTGTGAACTTTGGTGAGTTCCTGACAGTTCACCTGTCCTGTCTACAGTTCACCTGGCCTGTCTTGTGCAGTTCTGAGGAGTCAATAATAGCTGGGAAGGAGAGTGTCTATTGCAATTCCTGAGGGAATTCTCCCTGTGTAGCAACCTGCTGGATTTGAGAGTTTCCCCCTTTAGCATTAGTGCAGGTTTCACTGCGAGGGGATGAGGAAGACTCCTGCATGGAGTCTTTTGTGGAAGGAAAATAATAGGATTTCTTGTTCAGTCAGTCATAAAGTCTCACCTCCTCCTTTGTACTGCAGTTCCTGTAGCCCTGGGGATTTTATATCAGTCTGCAGCATTGGTAGCTGTTAAAATGAAATTATGCTTCCTCTTGAGAGACCTCTTACAGGTCAGCATTGCTAGGCCTGTCTTAACTGTTTTCTTTGAAGGAATTCACTTTAAAATTTGCTGAAATTAGCACATCTGCCAGGAGGGAAGGGGATACATGGGCAAGAGGAGATAGATTGCAAGGAAGTTACCACTTCTGTTGCCCAATGCCAGAAGTGTCTGTCTTCTCATTGGTAGAAAGGAAAATATTTCTTCTCTCTTTAAATATAAACACAGCTAATTCCCTGTAGCTATCACTTGACATCTCACAGATTTGACATCTGCAAACTGATTTAATTAATATTTGAACTACCTTTCACAAGTGTATAGCACTTCTAACATGCAGAAGTGCCAAGCCTTTTAGTTGATAAAATACATTGTTTCCAGAGTTTCTAAAGATAAAATAATCTAATTAAGTCACCTTTTCTGTTTTCTTGTGATTTAGTTCTCAAACTAGCACCTACGAATGTCTGAGAAAAGCCCCTCACTGTCACTTTTCTCCTCAGTGTCAGTACTTGAAAAGAAATGTCTGACTTTTATGGACAGCCCTGTCAGGGTCAGCAGACTGTGAGGTGCTGAGAGAATGCTGAGCTATTCCTGGGAGGATGCTCTCTGCCTGCCGAGACCCTGCAGCCAACATTTGAGTAGTTTGGTGCAGGGCTCTATTAACTGAGCTGTGAGAACAGCTGTGTGTTCTATACCACTGCTCCCAAACTGCCCTCAAGGATGGAAGAGTGGGATAAAAGAAACAGTGTGGAAGGAAGGAAGTAACAGAAGCCCAATTCAACTCTCATGGAAGTCTACAGGAATTTTTCCGACGATTTCATGGGAACTGAATTAAGTTGTTGGTGAGAAGCCATGTTCACAAACTCCAGACCTCCTCTTCTATTCTACATCTGCACTGGGTCTGTTGAATTTATTAGGAATAAAAATATAGTTTACAACATGTGGAAAATAGAGGGGGTGAAGGTTATGAGAAAACCCCAACTTATTGATGTGGGAGTGGAGACCTCTTGCAAAATGGACTGTTTCAAATGTACTAAAAATGTGTTCCCCCCCAGCATCCAAAGCCTTCCTGCATTCATAGTCCCTGACTTCATCAGTTTCACAGCATTACTTTTCAATCAGAAAACATCATAAACACAGGAAGGCAGATTTATGGCTGTTTATTAGCCAGCACCATTACTGTATTTACTGTAGTGTGAAAAAGGAAATCGGGGAAAAGTGCTATAAATCTCAGTGGCTGCAACCCAGATGCATTTATTTACTTACTGGATACTTCCCTAGTAGCTTAGCAGATGCCTGCTAGTTTACACTTATATTTTGAGCATATCAGCAGAATGCTCTAGAGGGATGGGTGTTAAAATCCTGCTGGGGTCTGTTGTGGGCACTGCTAGGAAGGAGCTACTGAAATGTGTTCAGTTTAAGCAGCTAAAATAGTTATTGAAGAAACACCAAGGTGTTAACCAATCACTGTGTTTAAAGGGAGTATATAAATTTGGAAGTATGTAAATACACCATCTTGCAATAACAACAGATAAACATCTTGCTATTCAAATGATAGGAATAAAAGCAAAACTCCTGACTTGCTAACATGAAGATATTCTCTGTTCAAAGAGGAATAAAAATTCTCAAATATTCTCTAAAGTTATGGAGCTGTAATATCCCACCTGTGCTATACAGGGGGCTGGTATCATCTGGGGAGTTGTGTTTCCTGCAGGCCAGACCCAAAGGTTGTACTTTACCATTGGAGATGTAATTGTAGTTTATTCCAAGACAGTAAGTAATCTGCTCCTGGATTACCTATTTCCATCTGCACTGAAAAAAAAAAAAAATTATTTTGGACATGGTTGTTTTCTAATGTTCAGAAATGCAAAAATACTTCCTTACAAAAGTATTCTGCATTGTTCTCAGTAACCATGTCTTCTTTAAAGTAAAGAACATGACTTCAGCAAATGTGGCATTGTCTAGGCCTGTTCTTTACACCTTCTTTATCTAGAGACATCTAATTAATGACTGGAAGTTAAATTGAATGTGTTTAGGCTTCAAGATTCTGAAAGTTCTACTTAATTTATCAACTTTCCAATAAAAGCACAACTTCTTTTATTCAGTTCAGATTTGTGGTCAGATGCAAAAGCATCTAGATGTGTGGTTGAAGTCCAAATGTATTTTTCCTAAAGGAAAATCATGAATCCATTGAAATAAATTAAAATATCTTCACTGATACTCAGTGAATCAGGAATTAAATTCACCCCAAAACCTAAAGGTTTTTAATTTTTACTACTTTTTCCTACTTAGTATTGGCTCTTACTGTTAATGCTGTTTTTAAAATGAACAGTAAAATGCAAAGAGTATAAATTATAGATGAACAGTTTCAATGAGGCTGTTGATTGCAATGACTGAAATCTAATTAAGCAGTTTAAGATCTAAGTGATATTATTATTAAAGAATTATGTTAACAGAGCATTTGATCAGCCTCATAATTTGTTTTATGTGAATTATACTTAGGAGATAATGTGATTCCAAGTGACAAAAAGCTCAATTCTGTTTCTTTCCTCTTTTTTAGAGAAAACTAATATGCTATATTTAAATTAAAATAAATTGACAGAGAGGTCTCCTGGAAACAAAAGCACTATTTTAGCATCTTAAATTTAACTGACTTCATATAAATACTAATACTGACTACAGGGTTTGAGATGACATTGTGAAGTACTTTTAAAACAGGAATGGAAATGTCTGCAGATGAATATATGCAAATACATGTATATTTTTACACAGACATGCTAATTTGTTATGATGACAGACTTATTAGCAGTAGCGAGCAAAGTGGTTGTGCCACACTACCTTTTTGACTGTGAAATCTGTAAATATCCACTTTTTAATCTAAAACAATTCAGTGCATTTTCTAAGTCAATGGGAATCCATTGGGAAGACATTTATTATTTCATTTACGAGTACAGTTCATACAAATTTATGAGCACATTGGATTGCTTCCTGTGTGATACAGATAAGTAGCAATCATGGGGACAGCGTGCTAGATAAATATATCCCTTATTTTTGGAAATCAGGTCTGTGCTTGGTGACTCTGAGAGTCAGCCTTGGTCTGATTGTAATTAATGTTTGTGCTTTTCTCACTCTCTGAATTCTATCAGTCCCATCTCTGTCAGGTCCCAGCAGAGCATCTCTTACAGAGTCAAGAGACAATTCAGCAAGCCTGGGCTAATCACACATTACACTTTCTTGTTGCTTGTACACAGGTGTTGTCTAGCAGAGGTGTCCCAAATTTCACTGTAAACTTATTTCTGTGAGCATCCTTTCCTCACCTCAGTGACAGCTCCCCTTGCCTTGGATGCTGAAGTGCTCCTTTAAAGTTGAACCCTGTTTGTGTCCACAGAATGTGTCTTGTCCCACCTGCCACAGATAGCTCAGAGCATCTTGGTCAGTCCACAAAGAGAACAAATAATTGGAGTAACTGAAAAAGACAAAATAGGATTCATTTTAGATACAACTGGACACCAAGAATTAGCAAAATACTATATTTTTTTTTTGTTGGATTGCTTTGATTTTTACTCTGTAGCTCTAAGTTTGTTCCTTGGTTACCATGAAAGGAAACCAGGCAGGATTTCAGTCTTAAAATTTCAGTGTCATATAACTGTGGGTTTGTTTGAAACCAACTGTTATATTTCAGTGCACAGCCTGACAAGCTCCCTGGGGAAATGGGCACAATTCCAGGGAGACAATCCTGTTCCCAGGTTAAATGTATTGTGCTGTGGTTGCTGCTGCCTTGACCCTGTTTTGGATGAAAGGACCATGTCACAGCATTGCCATTTCACTGCCTCTCTCCCATAGACATGCCAGGGATTGTTGAATCAGCTCCTGGAATACTCTTGATAAAAACAGCTCCAATTTTGGCGCTGCCTGTGCCCTCCCAGTTTATGGACATCCAGACATTTTGATTTAATTGAAATATTGTTTCAAGGAGTTACTTGTAATAGATGGTCTGTGGCACATATTTATTTTTAAGCTTTCAAACCAAACAGGGCAGGAGATGAGGGAGCAGATAATGCAGAATGATATGGGCTTGAACTGAGAAGGACTGAGGGTGACAAACACTGCAGAGGAAAGAGAAAGCCATGAAACAAAAGGAGACAAAGCAAGCGTGGCTGGATGATTCATTCTTTGCTGGGCTTTTGCTTTGTGTGTGGCAGGACTCACAGCAATAACCAAACCTTTAAACTCTGCCCCCTGAAATTTGTTGTGCCTTTTCTCATATGGCTCATTCTGTATCATTCCTTGAAGACAATCTCTAATGAGCCAAAATGTGCAGTATTGTTTTGAACCCATTCTTGGTTTTCTTTTCATGTCTGGAAGGATGGAAAATTAATTTTGCTCTTGGTCTGGTTCAAAATCTTCCTCCCACACTGTGGAGCCTGGATGTGGTGTTGGAAGATAGTATGTTCTGGCTACAAGCATCAAAGTGAGATCCAAAGGGCAAGCAGCTTTAAATATTTAACTACTAATAATCTGGTTCATAAAACTGACTGGGTGTTTATGGATGACAGCATTGATACTTTATGCTATTGATCTAACAGATGCAGTTAATTCTGTATTTTTAGAATATAAAAATATGCAAAAGTCATTCTTGATAGATAAAAAGAAATAACTCAGCCAAGTTCTTTTAAATGTTGATGTGTCAGCAGCCTTGCTATCCGTCATTAGCATTTTTTCTTTATATCTGAAATTTGATCAATAGTTTTCTGAGGTTATGATCAAGTGGCATAAAACATTTTACAAATTCTGTTTGCATGTGATAGATTTTGTGTTCAATGATGGCTCTGATCTAATAGGGGATCCAGCAGCATTAGTAATTACTGACAGACTAGGGCCTAGTCTGTCACCTTTAAATTAAAGGTGAATGGCCACTTCTGGTATTTCAAGTTTTAAGCAGAATGCTAAACATGGTTTTAAAGAGATTTTATTTTCATTGGTCCAAACTGAGTTCTTCCCAGAAATCCAGCAACCACTGAGGTCCCAACTCAACCTTTGCATTGGGAACCCAAGAATCCCATAAGACTTTTCAAGCTTACTGCTTCCAAAACTCCTTGAGATTCTTAAGCTCAGGTACAATGGAAGAAGAATTGTTTTGTTAGTGTGTGAAGTGACATGTTGATAGATAGGTACCTCCTGAGTGGTGGTTTCAAATATTAAATGATGATTATCCAGAGCTCCAAGGCACTGATTCTTTGAAAGGGCTTTCAATTTCGTGGGAGTAGAATGACAGGGGCTGATTTCAGCTGATTAATACTGAGCTACTAATCTGTACATTCTTTGTTCTTGACAAATTGTATAAATTAAGTTCTGGGGAAGAAGGGACCATCCTTAAATCTGAGAGCAATAGAAAGACTGGTCGAGAGGAACTTGCACTAAGTGCTCCCTGCCTTTTCTTCCTTGAGCATCTCCCAGTTTCAGAGACCCAATCCACCACTTTTCAACACCCTGTGGGAGAGAACTGTTGTGAATGCACTGTATATGGAAATTTAGGGAGAAATCCGTGTCAGAAAAAGCACAGGATGTAATTAGACACAGTAAGCAGTGTGTAAAAGGAACCAGAATTACCTTTGTCTGTTGCTTATACAACAGCGTATGATGAACCCACTCATTAAAAAAGGAAGAATAATGAAATGTTTATACTTGCAGAGTCCTAGGGAAATACTGTACCTCTTTCTGTACCTCTTACTTCAGGTAATGTTATCTTGCAGGTCATGGGGAGAGTAGTAATTTGTACAAGAGAAAGAACAAGCCCCACTATGACTGTAGTACAGCTTGAACTTTAACTTTTGTTTTTGCAGAAGTATCAGGCAGCTGCACAGTCCCTCTCCATTTTTCTCCTGTCTAAAGGTCAGATACCACTTCTTCATTATGTTCTCTGTCTTTTATGCAAGCAGCTTCTGCTGGAAAATTTTAATGTGTCACTCACACATCTGTAGGTTGAAACATCTCTCCAAGGCATCCATCACTCACACACAGCTGTCACCTGGTCATAAAGGTGACCTATTTCATATTAAAAATCCTTTTCCTTTCATTGTCACCACCAGGATATGCTCTACCTTTTCCCTTTCTTTGTCAGAAGTTTAGACTTGGGGGTTAGGTTGAAGATTCTTTGACGGTAAAAGGATGATTTTTTGATTCTTTGCATCACTGTATTCTGTCAATTTTATTTTAGTGCTGAGGAAAAAATCCCCAAACAAACATTGCTTTCTGACAGAGAACACTAGAACACTGTCATACTGAAGGATCACACTTCGTATGCAGTCTTGGTAAAATTGTTTCCACAGTGCAAAGAGTCTCATATGAATTTCATAAATTACAAAGTATCATAGTATGTTATTGGAGTTCCTTGTGGGATTTCAATGCCTTGTGTCTTTTATATTACTTGGAATATGGTGCTGAATTGTGGAAAAATTATTTAAAAATTAATGTTAATATGAGAGATCTCCTACATGTTACAAAAGTCTGTGTTATGCAAAATAAAACAGTATGCATAACCTACCATGTTCCCGACATCTCTTGGAATTGTTGAGCAAAACAGTCTGTGTTCACATTTTAGAAGACACAATAATTCTCCAAAAGTTGCAATCTGTCTTGGAGAACCCACAGGTTTGTCACTGAATTTCATTATCAATCAAGGCATTTTTGTGTGGAAAAAAAAAGGTGCCTTGAAGAGAACTATATGTAAGAAGAGGAGGATAATTGTCAGGATAAAGATGCTACTTCTGTTATGCAGTCCTCAGCACTTGATCAGATTTAGCTGTAGCATGTATTGGATTAGAATTTATTTTTATTTTTGAGTTTTAAATTCCTTTTTTCTCCTCTACTTTCCACTATCATTCCCTCTCAAAGTAGTAGAAAATAATATTTACTACTTATTCATTACATAAGTGATGCAGAAAATCCATTCATCATAATGTTTACTGTCATGGTTTTGCAGTTTGGTTTTTCAGTTTTCAGTTTTGTTTGGTTTTTCAGTTTTCAAACTGAAACCACCATATCTTCCTAATTTTGAGCTATCTAGTTTGTTTTTGCTTTATTTGAAATAGATAAACATGCACAAAGTAATTTGGATGCATCTGTGTCATGGTAAAATCTGTACTGATTTAATGTGGTTATCTGGGTTTTGATCAGTCTGGTCACTGGCATAATAAAAACAGTGTTTTTTCCAAAGAGAAGTGGAAACTGAGAAAGTCCTGTTGCTAGAAGAGAAAAAATCATGGAGAGAAATTCCAGGCTTTGGGAAATACAGTTGCCATTGTTCACCTCTCCTGGTGTAACACTGATCCAGTGTAACACCATTACTCATCTCTGCCCTGCCTTCGGGATTTGTTCCACCACGTTCCACTGGACTTCTTGGGGGCTAATGGACCATTCACACTGACTTACCACACCAGATACCAGGCCTAAGCAGAAATATTTTTTTTATGCTTGGCAGTCCTTTTGCTGGAAAATCTGAATTAGGAGCTTGTGAAGTAACCTTCAGTATTGTCGTGAAGTATAAAAATTCCCATTACTCCCTGCCTCTCACAGCACTGAGACACTCACTGCCATGTCAGTCCTGAAGGAACATACTCTGTTCATGATTCCTTTTAGCTCTAACCCTGAGGGGATCTCATTAATCACTTTGTTTCATGAATTAATCTTAAAAATTACGAAACGGTGATGACTGTGGCGTAAGGATAGTACATTTGAGAGACAAACAAAGGAAGAAAAAGCCCGACAGTGCTGGAAGTAGCAAAGCAACCACAGAAGTGTTTTATAATTTTTCAGAATGTGAATTCTAGCAGTGAGGTGCTACCCCTGTCTGAACACAAAATTCTGATGAGTTTGTGGTCTTGTCTAAGAGATACTTCACGTTTTCATGTGACAGTTTGGAGAAACAAACACAGCTCTGCCCTTATGTGGTGTAAGCCAACAGCATTCCACAGGGAATGGGAGAGCAGGTTAATGGGACAGGGATGAAAAGAAAAATTAATCTAATGGTAAACATAGCATGTCTTTGCCATTGCTAATTCATGTATACTAGAATATCTTACATTCACTGTGAGCTACAGCCCTTTCTTCTAAAGCTAAAACTACTGTTAATGTTACTGAAAACTAAAATGTTACTGATCAATATATGTTTTGTTTTTCCGGCTATGAGAGCTGTATAACTGCAATGATTGGCTGAAGTTATTTTTTTTAAAGGCAGATTAAATCATGATCATTCTTTTAACATATTCATTGAAGAATTAGCACACCTCTAACAAGTTATCATCAGTCCTATATGTTTTCTACTGATGCTTTTAGGCAAACACTGTTTATTCCTGCTTAGGCTGATTTGGTTTTTAAGAAACCAAAGGAAGCAAGGAATAGTTTCTCACTTGTTCTCGTGTTTGAGGTTGCTTGGACTGTGTCTCCCTGCATTGCAGGGGAACTGAGCCTCTGGCAGATTGTTTTGTGTTCTGATTCTGGAGCATTATTGGAGATCCCTTTATTATCTTAGGCTCTGTACATCATTTCAAAGACAGTAAATGCTAAGATGGTATGCAATCATCTGTCATATCTATCACATAGGCAATGGATTCACTCTACAAAGCCTTTTAAAATTCTGTAACAATCTTTGAGAACCTTATCTGAGTGCCTAGGTGACATGAAGGCACCTTCAGACTCAAACTGGCTTATACCTTGAAATGCTTCACCTTACTCCAGCCGAGCTCCCCCTGAGGTGAGAAGCAGGTGAGCAGTCAGTATGTGCCTCAGTTCTCTCATTATTGTTTCTAGGTGCATCAGTACCAGGTTTAACCACAGCAAACACCACAGTCTGAAAGTTTAGAGCTACTAATGCAAATACTTGTGAAATCTGTGGATTTAAGGAGCTGCTTTCAGTGTGTGCTCAAATACAAACAGATGCCTACTATATTTTTGATGTGGAGAAGCTTAGGGATTGTTGCTCTTCTAATTGTTCCATTCACAATATTTATTTATACTTACATAGTTGTAATGGGATTCCCACATTCTAGCAGTGTTTGTCAAGAAATGTGATTTGTACTATTCTGTATCATCCCAGAATGTGACTGGGACATCTGACTGACTAAATAATGTGTGATAAGTGTTATTACATAAACTTGATTGTACTTACAGTTTGGGGTATTCAGCTTCTGTGAACAGCTAACATGGGATTCTCCAGCATGAGTTCCTTGTTTAAGGGAAGATTTATCTCAGTCCTTCATTATTAGGATTCAAACAAACAATTTATGTAATTTCATTCCTAATCTTTTTCTCCTTCATTGTATCTAATTCTTTCTTTTACCTACAGGAAAATCTCAGAAGTGTTCAGATTGAGAATTTGCTGTCTCAGCTGTCTTTGCCTTTCCTGGTGCTTTGTGCTCTGAATTGGGTCAGACACAATTTTAAAGTAATACAATTGTCCTTTCTTGTGAAAACCATTCCTCCTCAACTTGCTTCCTCTGCATCTTAAAAGTAAAGCAGGATTCCTTTATGTAGCTAGAATTTCAGGCTGGAACATTCATAGTACTTTTCCAGAAATCTGCAAAACTATTGCTTCAAGTTCCCTTGTTCTGAAGAATTTGAGCAGAAGCTCAGTCTTCAAACCCCAGATATGACTCAGCCATTGTGTAATTGTTGTCTGTGGTAGTAGAGAAACTGATGTTAAATGATGCCCAACTTTAGTTACTGGACAAATACTGTTGCTGACTGAAGAGAAAAACTTGTCTTGTAGGAGCTAAAAGTTTGAAGTTTATTATAATGAGAGGGGGCAGCATATGAGATAAAACTAACAAATGATTATAATGCTGTGACAGGAAATGCACCATAATATTGTCATGGCTATGGCCATCTAGTCCAATCCATACCTCTGGCAGTGGCCAGTCCCACATGAAAAAGTTGCAAGGAAGCCCTACAGCAGACAATCCTGGAATATGCTCAAAAGGGCCCATCTGTCCTAACCTCAGGCATGTAGAGGCTACCTTATACCCTCAAGCAGGAAATTTTTGCCTGATTTTTCCCTCTGTAGAAAAATTTATATACAAGCTTTTCAACTTGATCTCGCTCCCTCAGTTTTTCTAAGGTATTGAAGAGGTGTGAACACCGTATGTAATGTGCAGAGAGTGTCAGTGGGAAATGAGAAATGGTAAAAACTACTGAAAACAGCAGTGTGTGTTTGAAGTTTGACTCCTGTCTTACTTGCTTATTGCAAAGAGCAGACTGGAGAACCAGATGATACGTGTCAGAAAAACTAAGACCCTCATCACTTTACAACAAGAAATATTGCTGATTTCCCTCTGAATGTTTAAGAAGCTATTTCAAAATATGTCCAACATTGGCTGCTTCTCTAAAAGTCTGGGCACTATCCAGGAGCAGACTCAGCAGTGTCAGCATGGTAAGAGACAGGATTATCTCCAGGAAATTTAGAAATGAGGAATCCTAGAAATCTCATCAGGTAAGCCAATCTCTTAGAAACTGAGATACACTAGCCAAATGAAGATGTTCATACAAGTTGTATAAGCTTTTAGTCAGTTGCTGAATTCCAATTATTTATTTCCAAACTTTTGGAGAGTCACATAAACCTGTACCTCTTGCTAGACGTGTGACCACTGTCATGCCTGTAAGACAAGAGGAAATTGGAGATACTCCACGGGAAAAAGACATAAACCAAGAAAGTCTGTAAAGCATGGCAGTGATCATAAAGGCTTTTACTGACACAGATCATCAGCTGTCTTAGAACTGCTAGACTCGGCTGGCTTTCCAATTCTTCCTTGCAGCTGGTGGGAATTTGGACAGCTGAGGACCTAGACAGACACTGGGGCAGAAAAACTGTGCAGCCTTTTAGCATTGAGGGTTTGTTTTGGAGTCCAGCACTGCCTGATGCTCGCAGCCTGAGGTGCTGAGGGATGTGAATGTCCACGTAACATCAAACACACGTGTTTGTGTGGCCTTTGGGTGGAAAGCATTCAAGCCTCCTTTATTAGTTGTGTCTTTAAAAAGGTACCTTTTGAGGCATCTTTGAGCAAAGGATCATTTGATTCTCTTGCTCACCTTCAAAGAATTAACTTTAAATGAAGCCTCAGAAATGGAGAAAGCTCCCTACCTTATTGCTTACAGACAGGGACTGTTTTCATGAGGGATCAGATGTCTAGAAGCTTTCACAATGTGCACGAAACAACTTATGACAGACTAGCAAGCTGCCCTGTGCCATCACGGCAGCTGGCAGTGAGTCATTGCTTCTGGCCCTGTAATGCAGACCTTGCGTGTCTGGGAAATAATGCCCAGCCAAGTGTGATTGCAGCCTATTATTAAGGCTTTATTTGTGAAATTGGTATTCCTGAGGTCAAACATCTTTCTCTCTATTTTCACATAGTGCTTTTAGACAGCTTTCAATAATGATTGCATTATACCCCTACTATGAAGATACTTTATCTCTTATACAAATTGCTGGTTAATTACCGAGTTGTTTTTCACATCTGATGTGGCTTTTGAGTTAGACAGTATGACATGGAGCCAGAGGCAACACTGACTACAGAAAAAATGGTGTTTCAGCTTTAAAGTGAGTACAAGAATTTCTGAAACAGATGAGTGCATCCCAAGAGTTACTGTAGGTAGTGAAACGCATTGTCTGGGAAGTGGAAATTATTTAAAAACAGTGGTTTACCTGCAGGTCTCCAGGTGATGTGTTGGCTTCCTTGAAATGTTTCAGATCTACCTTGAGTGGTAAGGAGGTAGAAAATTATTTTACTTGTAATGTCAACCAGTTCAGAATTGTTCTTTGGTTTATGTGCCTTATAATATCTTGATATAATGACTGGGGAATCTCAAATGTGGGAGCTGACGCTGAACAGGGGAGGATGAGGTGGTGTCCTTACTTTCACAGTGGATTTTTAAGCTCAAGGACCTGGGTACAGGGATATTTGAAAGAATCTTGGGATTACTGTCAGAGATAACTTATCTGTGCTGACTTTCTCCAGATGTTCTTATTTCTGTTGACTGCAGAAGGAATCTGCACAGTGGGTGCTGACATTTAGATGGGACTAGTTAAGAGAAATTCCCTTATTCCTTGTCAAAAGACCATAGTACCTTGTGTAGCTGTATTTCAGTCACAGAGAAAATCCAGTAAGCCAGTAAGAATATTAATATGAGTCAGATCTCTAGGATTAAGTCCTGAATTTCTGTTGAGTCTGAATTCTTACTCTTACAAAAATGTCTTTTTTCCTTAAAGGAACTGGACAGTTGCAGCAAGGTACTGGCAAACATTTTAGAAGAGCATGCTATGATAGTAACCTTGTAAAGAAATATGACTTCCAGCACTTAGTAACATCACCTGCCAGAGAAAACTTGGCAGGTCTTCTAATTTGGTCAGTGAATGTTTTAAGGGGAATATTAATTTGAGATATTCATACCTCAGCAGAAAGCTCTCTTGGTTCCTCAGCTGTGCACACTGGAAGGGAAACATTCAAATAAATAAAATAAACTCAGCATTTTGTATTTACAACAAAAGGAAAGGGATTCAGAAGGTCTCTTACAGTGCTGGTAATTCTCAGATTTATTTTTTCACATCTCACTGCATAGGTAGTAGTTTTTGTAAATGTACCAAGATTACTTTTAGATCACTGAAACTCTTGTCTTTATGTGTTTTATACTGTTAGGAATTATGAAAGAATCAAGTTCTCAGGATTTGCCAGGGGAAGTTGGCACTGGTATTAATTCATATCTCTGAAGAAAGGTTTGCCATTTTGTTGTGGAAATTAATGAAGGAGGCAATATAAATTCTTAACTCTGCATTAAAAAAAAAAAAACAAAAAAACAAAAAAAAAAAACAAACCCAAAGAATCCAACCAACCAATATCCAACAAACAAACAACAACAAAATAATTAAATCCAAATGTCTAAGTTATACCTCTTATGCAGATAAAGATGATTTGCCATAAACAGTGACCTTATGATGTCCAAAAACTCTTTGCCAATTGCAATTAAATAAACTAAACCTCAAACAGAGGGAAAAACCTCCTAAAGCCTAAACCCTAGAACACATTGTTCGGGGAAAGATATTTCCTTCCATACTAAATGTCTCAGCCACCACCATTCTCAAGGATTTTTAAAGTATTCAATATCCTTGCACCCAAAGAATTATCTTGCACTAATGTAACAATATGTAAGTTGTTGTTCCAAAAATCCTGGGCCCAACTCCAGATTCATCATGTGAACTTGAAAAAGCCAACATGCTTTGGAGTTACAAAAATAACACTGGATTATTTATTTATATAGTACCCATAAATTTACAGGTTGTTTTACACTCCAGAAATAAATTCTAGTCCCTGGAAGGGTAGTGCCACAATGAATTCTGGCTGTTAGGTTTAAATTAAAAGAAGAAAAACACTAATAAATTCTCAGAATTAAAAAAGAAATAAAAAATAATAAAAAAAGAAAACTCATTACCAATCTCTGATATCCTCTGTATTTTAAGTATTTCTACAGTGAGTTAATTTAATTTCTAGCTTAAATAAAAGGCAGAGAAGAATTGCCCCAATACCTCCTAAAAAAAGCATTAAACTCACACCCTGGAAGCAGAGAACTGAACCATCTGTTGCTGGTTGTTGAATCCATGTCAAACTCGGCAGCATGTGAGAGTGACGTACAGTGCAGCGTACAGAACAGGGCATTTATTTTTGGTGACATCTGGATACTTTTTATCTGCTACATAAACAAGGATTTTGGGGACAACAAACTCTTAATCATATGCACTTATCTCTACAAAACCACCATGGTGTTTGATCCTCTGGTTGCAGATTTCTCTTCAAAAGCCCCACTCTGATGAGGGAGAAAGTTCTAAAAGGATATAGAACCTTTACTTCCTTGATTCTTATTTCTCTTGCTAATTTTCTTAACGAGTTTGGTAAGGTGGCCAACCCCATCCATCTTTTCCTTGGCTGACTAATTCACTTTGGGCTCAGCAGCTTGTCCCTGATATCCATGATCAGTGTTCCTGCTGCCTGACATGGAACATGTTTACACTTTATGGTTAGAGCTCAACTATAAGAAAAAAACCCAAAAAAAGAAGCTGAGTTGGATGAAATTTGGAGACTTGCTACTGCAGCATACCATGGTCATATTTTATCTTCTTACTGTTGACACCTGCTAAAAATTTACTGTTCCAGAGGGATTGGTGGTAGTTCTGTGCTGACTTTATTGGTGTGACAGTGACAAAATTCCGGGGATTTCATTGCAGAAATGTGTAATAAGAGTTTCTCTTAGCTTTAAAATTGTATTTTGAGGTGGCTGAGGGTTGTGTGCTTTTGCTCTTTCTTTTCACAGTGGCATAATTACTGGTCATAGTCCATGTGAGAAATCAATGCAAGCACCTGCAGGCGAAGGAAGTGGTTTCCATACTCTGTATGGGAAATCTCAGAGCTCCATTACTATTATTCGGCTGTCACTTCACTTAGGTTTGAATTTACAGAAAAGTAAGAGACATCTGGTTCTTACTTTGAATTCTCCATGGGAAACACAATAGCAATAATTTCACTGAAGGAGGCTGTCTAGCAGTTACTAATGATGGGACTATTTTGGGTCTACTTAACTGCACAGTGGGTGCTTTTCTTCTGCAGGTAGTGATGTCTCAGATTTTGGTGTACATTTCTTATCCTGTCCAGACTTAAGCCTTGATTGAAGAATTAATCCAAAAAGCTCAAAGTACTGTGGGTTTTTTACACTTCACTCAGGTTGCTTATGGACCTCAGCTAAAGACAGTAAAGGTACAAGCCAGATGGGTTTTTTCATTCATAATCATTAGGACCTGATTCTAGTTGTGGTCTCATGTAATTCTGCTGAAACAAGAATGGAATTCTCTTTGTGGAGGAGTGAGTTGAAACCAGTTCTCCAGTCTCAGTCTGATATTTATGCTGGAAACACAGCTTCCCCCTCCTCACAGGACTTTGGTTTTGCCTGAATAAAAAAATGAGTCAGGAGCCTTGGGAATCAGTCCAGTGGAATGACTGGGACTGACATTTGACGGTCAGTCTGACCTTTACTTGTTCTTCATGTTATTGCCATTAAATTGTTGCTCACAAGGCTCTGAACAGGGCCAGTCTAAAACCCCCTCCACTCTGAATCATTCTTTATTCTCTTCTTGGAAATGTTCCTTCTTTGCTTCACTGATACCTGGTATTTTGTCCTTGTATGAAAATAATGGTGATAAAAATCATATGATTCTGGGTTAAAACATTGTGTCAGACAAATTAGGTTCTGAATGGTTAGTAGGAAGAATTAGTACTTCTTTGTGGTGCTGTCCTGGGCTATTAAATACTGAGAGAATGATGGACTTTGGATGGCTGATCTGTGTAGTCTTTTTCTACATTCTTTGGGTAGCAAAATCATAATGAAGAAATTATTCAAATTTCAAGACTTGTTTTAAATAGGCATTGACATCAATAATGAATTCTGTTGCTTGTGTGCTTACTATTTGTATTTAGGAATTCACTGACTTAAATTGTGTGTGATTTTAGGAGTGGCAAAGTGTTAGATTAAAAATCCACTGGACTTAATATAGAGATGGATCTTTGATCAAACTGGTCAGGTATATAAATCCTGGAATACATGACTACATCAAAACAGTTTTGGTTTAGAAGCTACATACTTTTACTGCTTCTGCTATAGAAGATGTGGAGACTCTACAGTCTATTAATGGCAAAGAAATAAGAAGAAAAAGATAGCAAAGAGGGTTTAATATGTAGAAGATATTACATATGCTCATTATCACAGCAGACATGCCAGGGTCTGGCTCATTCTTGGTCACTTGTTTGCTGTGTTCCTGAGCAGTGCGATGATGTGTATGCGAACACTGAACATCGACTACATACCTACTCTCTATTCAGTGGGAGGTCTCATATTGGCACTATTTTTTATTGAGCTTGTTAGATCTAATGGTAATTCCTCCAGCAATGTGTAAAAGTAAGTGAAATTATATTTCAGTATGGAGCCGACATCTCTGGATGCCAAAACAGTTATTGTTTTGTGTGAGGAATCAGAGTGTGCCAAAAATTCTTTCTCTTCTCTTTTTTTCTCTGTTATTAAAGCTTATTAAAAGCTAAAAAAAGTAGAATGTCGTGTCAAGAAGAATGATTGTTAATCTTGGATTAAAAAACTTCAACAGATCAGTGTCTCATTGCAAAAGAAAAAGCTATCTCTTTATCAGAATGATATCTGTTGGGAAGAACACTTTGCAGAGGAACTCCTTTAAATATATGGGACTGAATCTTGCTCCTCAGAGCTGTCCTGTGTAGTTTGCACTTTGCATCCATTCATCCAAAGAAACCCACAGGCAGAACAAAATGCTGGGATACCCGGTGGTAGGTGCCATGCAGGAAGCAGCTCTGTTTCCCAATATTTGCCACCTCAAAAACAAGGAGAAAAACAGGCTGGAAAGAAAGAACAGTGTGTTTCACCATAAAAAAAAAAAAACAAAAAAAAAAAAGCCCTTGTGAGTTATGCAGTTAGACCAAGTACAATGAGGGTAGAATGGAGGAGGGCTGAGTCTCACCCCTGCCAGTGCTTTGTCCATCGAGCTCCAATGGATTTATTTGTGCTGCTGCCTTCCCAAAGTGCCCTTTGCACTCAGGGACTTGCCAGTCTGACCCCAGGGGTGTTGCCATGGGGTCTGTGCCTGGCTCTCCAGGAGGGACAAGGAGATGGAGGCTCTCCAGCCAACAAGGAAAGGACCCCAATAAAAAGTACCCGATCCTCAGGAACAGCTGAGTTGTCAACAGTATTTAAGGTAGAAATGTAAACAAAATTTAATAGAGAGCAATGGGAGATATATTGGAGTTTTCTAAGGACTTCCTTTAGAACATGAACACTGTTCTGAGCAAATCATTCTGAGCCATTGTTACTCCCAGTTTTTCCTGCATTTCTTTTCTCCAACTCCTACTCTTTATTTTGTTAGAAAAGTAGAAGTTAACTGTTAGGCCATTGTGTTCTTCAAAACGAGTCAATTCTGCCATCTCCAACAGAGTTCAGTTTGAGTTTAGCTTCTGACTAAGATGAAGTGCAATTAAAATGGGGAAAGCGGCACAGTGCTTAGTACTGTGTCTGCTAATTGCTGCTGTACTTTCATTTCTTGTGACAGCTCTCTATGATGCATTATCACTCTGGTGGGTTCCCCCCACCTTTATGAGCTTTTCCTTAGATTAATTTCTGAGTGTTGCTGCATATTGGTGTGCTGAGCACTTGGAACAATTTGCAACTATTAAATCTAGTCCTGAGTTTGCTACTATTAAAGTTCATATTTGATCTTCTGCCTCTCATAATCACAGGAGGAGATGAGGCTTTGTTTCTGCTTTCATGTTCCCCATATCCTCCTCTCCTGTCTCTCCTCATGCCCTTTAAACAGATTGTTCCAGCCTGAGTGAATTGCAGAGTATGAGGTAGGAGGGATGCTATGGAGGTAAAGCACAGGGAGAAAAGACTAAGAAAGCAAAGTTAAATATTAATTATTTCAATTGTGATTGGCATAATTTGTCAGTCACTGTTGCATTTCTGTTGCTCTTCTCAGAAAATTTTGCAACCCTTAAGTTGTCCCCAGACTTTCAGTATTTAAAATCAGTGTTGGAATTCTGAAATTTAAATATAAAATTAAAATGTGCTAAGATTCAGAATATTCAAACATGTGAGGACAGTGTGATCTGATTTTATATCTTTATTATTTTGTTAGTATTACAGCAAGAAGTGCCAAGAGGTGTGCTGTGCTCCTGTGGAGTAAAACCAGCTCTTGCCTTTGGGATTTAATCAACATTCAGAAATAAAAAAGACAAAATAGGTAAAATGGAGTGATCAGAGATTATGAAGATAATAATGATTAGTTCTTTAGATCAGCTAAATCTGATTCAGATTTCAGAATTTCAGAAAATCTGAAAATAGATCTTTTGAATCTCAATCTAGTATCTTGGATTTTTTTTTTCTGCTCTCTTTTGAGCTAAAGAATCAAATAATCAGATGACAGTCTTGAGAATTTATCCTCCTTGAAATTTATGGCCACACTTGCATTAGCTCCAGGTATTAAATCTGCTTTTATTTATGGGAAGAGTGGTAGTCTCAGAATTTGGTTAGGAGAAAAATATTACTGAATGAAGCCATGAGCTGCAAGAACCAGCCCATGAGCAAGACCAGCTGTAGTACCAAAGGGTCTATCCCTCATTTTAGGAAGAGATACCGGACCAAATTCTGGTGTGTCTCTGCTGATTTTTGTGCTTAGATTTATTTCATTCTCCATTAATGATTCATTTGCTAAAGCTGTCTGCCCACAGAAATGCCTGGATCAAACAGTTATTCCTACACAGATCACAAATTGAAAATGGAAGAAGCAGGCATTCTGTCAATGGTTAAATGACTAATTTGACAATAGGCCATTCTTCCAAGAGTAAAATGCTCCCAGAGAAATGAGTGGGCTCAAAGGAGGCTGAGGCCATACATGATGCCAAGAGTTACACATGGTTCTCACATAAATATGTCCGTAATAGTTACTCTTAATACTTCATTGATTGATAGGTCATAAACTTGTGACACTAAAAGTGCAGAGATAAGGAGACAAAGGAGTTTCAGAAATGGAATGAAAGCCAGGGAAGCTTTCCAATTGTACAAATCTGTATTTCTCTTTGTTTGTAGTTCAAACTTTTGAGCTTGCCAGATTAGTGAATAAGAATCTTTTGTCCTTGTCCAATAAATATATTGATAAGATGTAGAAAGAGCAGGCATGGAAAGCTAATGCATCTCCATGTTCACATGTCCCTCTGCTGATAACAGAAGAAGGCTGGGCTAACACAAACACATGGTGTTAGGAGTTCCAGTGACATGATCCTCTTCCAAAAGGAAATTCAAGTCAGTCACATTCCATCTATTTTAATACATATCTGAGATATCAGTCATACAGTGCTTGTAGGCAAGGATTAGAATGCAGAAGAAGTGAGTAGCTGTGCTGCCCCCACTGTATCTGAATCATGGAAATATGGGATTTCCAGGGCCAAAATTCAGATAAAGAACTTGTGTTCTATTTAGGAACCCACATAAATGTCCTGATTTTTAATAGACTACATGCCAGTAAGCGCTGGCTTTATCAGATAACATGAAGCATTTTTGGAAATTTGGCTCTCCCACAGGTCTTTGAAAGGGAGCTGATCCCTTCTGAAAGATGTGTACTCAGACATTCTTCAGGCAAAGCCTTTGGTACATGTGACTGATCAAATACATCCTAACACCAAGGTGTGTTGTATGCTTTGTTTTTTGTTTGAAGTCTCGAGAAGGGATCTGCTCCCTCCACCCTCACTGCCCATGCCAGGATGCTGAGCCCTGCACTCCGCAGTTCCCAAAATCCCGGCTCAGGAAGGAGCTCCACAGTGTGCAAGGCTCCCTGCAGCAGGGACATTGGGCTGGATGTCAGCTCCCTTACCCTGTCAGAGCTGCTGCATCTCCATTGGCCTTTCAAGGTCTTTAACTCAGCTGTATTTTCTCTCTCCATGAACTGGGGGTTTAGAAAAGGCTTTGTAAATATTGAATCTTTCTTGAGGTATATTAATCTTTGATATCCAAGTAGCCTGAATCCTCATCTATTTTTTTCAACCCTGTGTGTCTTTATTGTGTCTTCTCACATTTGCTAGTTGTAGGATTGTCTTCTTCCCCTTTTTGCATCTCTTTTGGCTCACCAAACATCTTTCAGCAGAATCACAGTGTTTGTGCCTCTTTTGCACTCAGAAACTCATATCTGCACTCAGAAACTCATATCCAGAAAGTTCTCTTTCTCCCATGCTTCTTTCTATATGTTGTTTCCATCCTCTCTGGGTAGAGTATCCCTTAGTTTTGCTGATGTCTATGGATGTACAAGTAGTGCCACAGAATTTATCAAAGTATTTCACATGAAGATAAAGAAAAAAAAGGGCAGAGACAGCAATAGCTGATGGGTTTATGCTGGATCTTACATGGTTTGCAGGTGTATTGCCCATGCAAACCCACAAACCATAAATACAGCCAAGCTTCCTAAAACTTTGTGTTGGTTAAAAAGTGCTCCAAATTCTTCATGTTATGATGTTGGCTCTTTTAATTTTTTTTTCCAGGGTCCTTCTTTTCAGATCATACGTCTCCCTTCATGAAAGCACAAGGCTTGGCTCTTAGTTCCATATGTCTTTATAAGCCCACACCCTGAACACAAAATAGTGTTGAGGATCACTCCCTTGTCTTATCCTGCCAAATACAAACTTTAAAGAGGTTTGGGATATGGATGTTCTTTTGTCCTGCTCAGCATACCCCTGACTGGGATAATATCCTTAGGGTTATGAAGTATTATTGAAAGGAAGCACAAGAACACTGTGCTCTACTTCTGCATGTGGCTTTAATTATAGATTCTCCTGAATCCTTTTCATACCTGCTCTTAATTTTTTTTTTTTCTAGAAATTTCTTCCACTCTGTAATGATTCTCTTGAAATTAGCTTTTAAAATGCTATATAGGAACTAACTGTGAAAAATTAAGGAATCCTGATATTACCTTTCATCTTCTTGTTTCTAATTCAGCCTGACAAGCTGTGCAGGATAGCTTGAAGAACTGAGGCATCTTCCTCATGAATGCACCTATAAATTAAAAGTGAAAGAGTTTGAGCTGCTTTTCATTATCTTATCCAATGGTTGAATTTACACACCGAACAAAACTGTATCATCATCTTACAAACTAATGTTTGGGGAAAACATGTGTTTCAGAATTATTTTTTTTGGTGCTCAGTAATAGCAGCACTTCATTTCTTTTAGATAAATATTTATACAAGCATGCACTGTAAACCAAGAAAGCCCAGGGTCTGAGGCCCTTCAGCAAAGAATCTCTCATTTTCTGTGATGATTTTTTTTTTCCTGAGCTGTTTTATAAGTATTAACCACTGAGGGAGTTAAGAACCTAAAAAGAAAATATTTTTGTATACTGGAAGGAGATCAGTTTCCTTTCCCTAGACATGATGTTACTCAGTGCAAACTACAGCCTTAAGTAAAAACAAAGTGTGCATTGAGAAATTCACTGCAGAACAGCTGCATTTCTGAGATGTTGTAGGCAGGGAAAGTTTCGCCCCTGGATTCCCTTCAGGTGTCTCAGAAGTTTCTGGTGCCCTGGCGCTAAAAGGATATTAGAAAAATTCTGCTTAAAAATTGGCCGCCAGAAAAGTCTTTCTTTTAGGAAAACAAACCCTCCCCACACCCCCTTAAATTTTTATGTACTCTTTAAAAATCAAGGAATTGATCTGAAGATGAGGTAGGAACTCTGTTCTAGAAACTGGCCTGTGTCAGGAAGAAATCACTGTGTCTGATTTGGTTTTATATTTTTTAATGATGGGACTCCATTACATAATTTGTCCAAAATGATGTGGAAAGCTGAGGCTAGAAACTAAGGAATAATTTATTTGGCTTTAATGCTGTTGTACGAGATTTTATCAACCACCCTAAAATCTAACATTACAGTTCCTTACCTGGCTGTTTCAGCATTATTGAGGAGCTTATTCTTAGTCCTGTTCCTGAAACTAAACTTGTTTGCAGAGGTAAAATGACTTGCTAAATAAAGCAAATTCAAAAGAGTTCCTATCCCTACCCAATTCAGGTGTAGTGCAGGAAAAATAAAGTGAAGTTCTAAAAACTTATTTTGCACTCATTAAAGACATTTTCATTTGATACAAAGTCATTGCACAGTCTTGTGGCAGACTGAGAGGAATAAGTACATGCAAAATGGCCTAAAACATCCACTGTAAAACTGTTAAACTAAGGGAATTGTGTAAAATTTGGTTGTTGTGCTTGGCTGGCTTTATATGTACTTTTTTCAGTTTTGATTTGAGTTGTGGTTTTGACTTTGCTTAGAGCTGGGCCAGAACCACAGCTGTGGATCCAAATACCCACAAATCCTGGCCCAGATCTGAATTGTTCATGTTGAGTTCATTTCTGATTCAAAAGAACCCCCAAATTCTGGGCAAAATTCTGTCAAAACCACTAAACTCCCCCGGTTGGAGTGCCAAACCACAGTTCAGCCCACGTTTGTTTGAAAATGACTAAAAACTGGTCACAGATTCTGTTGATTGTGATCCAAAATTGAATCATAGTATTTAGAAACTTCAGCAAACTGAGGCAGAACTCAGTGGTTGCAATAAAACCAAAATTGAGAGAGTATTGTGAGGTCTTAATTTCTTTTTGTGGACATTTCTTGCAGTTCAGCAAAACCATCCTCAGAACTGCACTGGTTCAGGGGAACTGGTAGTTCAGAGAACTTGTGTACTCAGGAGTAGTTCTTAAAGAGCTGAAAGCAATGATGGAAATGTATCAGTTTCCTCTCTTATGCTTTTTCCATTTTTAGTGGAGTTGCTCTTGTTCTGTTCTGCCTTCTGCACAATTAAAATAAAAGCCTTTGAAGTGTCTGAATTTGCATATTTTATTTTTTTCCAGAGACTTTGTCACAGCCTCTTATGGAAGTGATAGCATTAAATTGGAGCAGCACAATGAATTCCAGGAAGTGAGTAATCTTCATTAAGCTTGTTTATTTGCAGGAGCTCCATTAAATTAAGAATGCTTATCAGGCTATGTCTGCACTGATGAAACTAGTTCTGCTGTTTGCCTTGAGGGATTGGTTCCCTACCTGACACCTCAGGGTCCTGGATTTTAATCTCGTCCTTGGCAAACCCAGTAGATCATTAGTTCAAAACTGACATTCAACCTGTAGTAGAAGATCAGTCTTTATAGTAACTTTTACATATTCTCAACTTTAAAGATTAAGAAATAGGGCTACAATACAATACATGACTTAAAACAGGTGAAGGGAAACTTGGTTTTAAGATGTTTCTGCTGTGGTAAGGGCAGGTGTAGTTTTGGACGGATCCAGCCTGAGGTGTGAGTGCTGGCATATTCTCTTAAAATCAGAAGCAAAAGAGAGAGATTAATCAATTCTGAATTGAACAAATGGCAGTATTCCAGTCTAATACCTTGAAAAGAAACTCATAAAACATGAAATAAAATTTAATTTCCCCCTATGTGTATTTAATGATGACTGTAAGTTAGTGGCGAGGTTCTTCTCCAAATTATTTAGGTAGAAATTTATACTTTTTTGAAATGCCAATGAAAATAATTTTGATGCGTTTGAATTCTTCTGCTCTGCAACATAAATATTTGGAAATTGTTACCCCTCTGAAAGGGTAATTGTTGGATACATGCTGAGTTGGATACATTATCAGCCACAGATAGGATGCCTCCAAAAAAAGGGCTCGCCATAAAGACATTCGTGTTCTCACATAATTAACCCAATGGCATTTGGTTCCAGCAAAGCCATTCTGCTACATAATGACAAGAAAAATGAGATATTAGTGAAGGTCTGGGAAGAGATGAGTACACATCTGCTTGTATTTGCTTTCTTGGCATGACCCATCAGGTTGCTCTTTAGGACTAAAATTAAAAATGTAGAGAATTAAAAAATTTAATGAAAAAAAAAACCAAAAACCAAATCCTCATCTCTTCTAATTGAAAATGTAGAGAGGCATAACGGAGAGAAGCTGAACTTGTAAATGCTTTGGGTTTGTATTTCTGTTGCAGGAGCTGTGTGTTGCTCTTGTGTGTATGTATCAATTATAAATATATATCTGCTTTTGCAGTGACAGACTATTTTAAGGTGGCTCAAACAGTTATTGGTACCAAACTGCTTGATAATGAATGTCTGGGAAACTGTGATGACAGATCAAAGGATCAGCATTTTAGGTTTCCATTCCTGGTGTATCTAGTTTAGATTGACTGTAAATAAAGTTCTAGTCAAGTTCCAAATGAGCAAGGCAGGGTCTTACAGGGTAGGGTAGCATTATCTTGGGAATCCTGCTGAAACATCCTTCTGGAGGGGGCTGATCTGTGAGAATTGTGCAGAGATTTGTAAGCCTTGATTTTTAGTGAAGATTGCCTAAAGCAATATTAATTGAATATGCATCTTTCTGATAAACATACTGTACTTCTGAAACTGTTGTCATCAACATGACAACAAATGAGTGTGGAAAAATCAAATCCTGGAGCAAAAGACAGATTTGCTGATGAGAAACTCCACTGGGAAGTCTGGAGCTTGCCATCCCATTTGTAAACAACTGCACCCATGTGGACTCTGTTTGTGTGCAGGGGTGGTTGGGCTCTGCCTTTGTGTCACAGTAAAAGAGGGAAGAAGATGAAAAGTGATGGCAACAGAATGAATATGCAAAAAAGGAGGAATCTGATCCAGGGACAGGAGCCGTGGGTTGGGGTTTAATGTTATGGATTAGACTTTACAGTTTATTTCCTCTTCAGGATGTTTTCTTTTTTCCTTGATTTTCTCATATGTGTGGTCTTCACTCAGCAGAGCTGGTGTCATCCTTTTCATCTGGTTGTAAAGGAGTTTTTTTGGCTACATATACCTTTGCTACAAGCATCTTGAATGATATTTCTTTGGGGTTTCTGAACTACATGAAATACAGAGCTGAGAAAGATGAACTTACAAAGGTTTATTGTATCATTTAAATTTGCAGGGACTTGGTTCTGTGTAATCTAGAAAATCTATAATAATTTGGAAATAAGAATAGAGAAATCTAAGCCTTTACACTGCACTTGAATGAGGACTGAACTTACATCATAACTAGAGTGAATTTGAAACATCTACTTCTCCTTGTTCCTTCTGCCTTTGTACAGATGTGTGTGCTGTAAAAGTTATTTATAGGATTCATTTAAATTCCACATTTTCCCCAGTACATTTTCCACCTTTTTTTTTCACAGTACTTACTTGTAAAATCAATAGTCTCAAACAGCTTACTTTTTAAACTCCCCCTACTTTCCTTTAAAGCTTAGAGGTTCTATGTGTTTCCATGGAGCCATTTCTAAGCAGATAGAAACAAACTCAGGCACAAAAGTTCATTTTGAAGGAAAGCCAGTGCTGGTTTATACTATGAAGAGCCTAATCATGCTTGACTTCTGCAGGTGCAGAGTTTAAAATGAAATTGTCAATATTCAAAACACTTGCATATTTTTGTTGCAGATAGAGGGTTCTACACCATAACTGAGTAAAATACCTGGGGAAAGGACTTCATAGTCTACACAGATTGGTTTTTAATACTCCTCTCCTTCTACAAGGTGTTTCACAGCATCCAAATATTAGGATTATTGTTACTTTGGCTTATAAGGAAAAAGTACCTAAAGCTGGAAAAACAAGGTAACATCAGAGCATTCATTACGATTACATGAATATTAATTAAGAAGAATAAATGGTATTTGGAGGTTGCTGTGCAGAGAGGTTTATTCCAAATACAGTGGTCAAGATCTTTATGTTCTGTTCCTCTGTGGACAATAGAACTGACATTGTTTACACCTTCTTAAGGTTTGGCCTCTTCTGTTCAGCAATTCCCACATAATAACAAAACAGTAACAAAGCTGAATTTGACTCATAACAGGATCAAGATTTCTCTTGATTTCAGATTTACCAAAACAGTCACTTGACAGTTGCTTCAGTTCACTACTGATATATGAGCTATATTCACAGTTGTTTTCCTCAGTGTGGGTTGATTTAAACAATTCTGAAATTCATAGCTTGTCAAGCTCCTTTGTGATTGACTTAATCTTTCACAGAAGGATCTCATGGATTTATGGCTGAGATCTTGACTTTGTCTTCAAAATCTTTTTTTATTTCTCAGAGTTTCCTTTACCAATGCCCCTACCAAGAAAAGGAAGCAAATAGTGAATTTTTTACAACTGCTTATAGCATAACACAGGGAAAACTTCAAAGTGCAGAGAAATTATTATGCTTGGCCTTTTTTTTCTTTTTTAGCCTCATTTTTTTCCTTCCCCTATTTCAAATTGTATTTATATTTGCTTCTGATTCTCATGTTACTTTCTTCTTCAAGCTGCCAAAAGTCTTCTACTGTGGTGCTGGAGATTAAATGGCAAATTTCTGGCAAACATCGCAGAGTTTTGTTTTCAATGAAGAAGTAAATCTAGCCTCTGATTAGCAGGAGAATCACTTTACTTTCACTATCATTTATGCTCATAGTTCTTGGATTTGTTGTCATTTGCACATGGAAACATAAAATTTGCATATGCAAATAGTGCATTACAGTGTCTTGTGCTTTGAAAACAAAACACAAGGTACAATACCTACAGTGGTCTAAAGAACAAACACATAGAATCAAACTGGTAGCTGGTGAAGGGATGAATGACAGGATAATTATGGCAACTGTTCAAATACTCTGACAGAATCAAGAACATTATTTTAAATACCTGTTTTCAGTGGGGTCAGTCATAAAATCCTCATCTGCTGTTCCATGGGACTCAGTCTATCCCTCATGTAATTTTATCTGGGAGGGGAGAGAACTGACACTGAACTGACGGCCTGGCTGAGCATCAAAGTGCTGTACAAAAGCCCTGCTGATTGTGCTGATTCAAAGAATTAATTATTTTACATTTGCTAAAATCAAAGCAAGTTATGACATTAATGAGAACAGGAAAGAGGAAAGGACAGGATGGTAGGAGCAGTGGGTGTCAGCACTGATGTTGGCTACCCCACACCGCAGGAACTGCTCCCTCAAGCTCTCTTAGCTGTGTATGGACTGTGCATAGAATGTCTTTATGAAGGAGGCTTTGATCTGTTGAATGAACATGACCTGTTTGCTGTGTTTTAAGCAGACAGTGGAAGCACAAGATGTGAAACATCAGAGACAGATGATAGGAAATGGACTCTCAGGGCAGAAAAACTAGGGAGAACACAGATATGCCTAAATGATCAAAATGAAAATCTGAACTCCATGTGTCTTTCCATTAAGAAATATTGCAGGTCAGGATCTTCTTTTACCTCTTAGAGGGTTAGAACAAACTCCCCTGCTTGCTCCCCCCGCCCTTCCCTGATGACCCGGAGAGGAAGGCTGTTCCAGAGAGCAGAATTGTGGAGGGAAATTCATGCGGAACACAAAACCAGACTCTGAGAAGATCTTGAGTATGCTGCTCTCTGGGCAGTTCAGCTTGAACTTACATGGGCAGGACAGGATGGTAGGACAGGAGGGGACAGTTTTAAAGTGAAATAAGAGAGATTTAAATTAGATGTTAGGATGAAATTCTTTACTCAGAGGGTGGTGAGAGATTGGCACAGATTGCCCAGAGAAGCTGTGGCTGCCCCATGCCTGGATGTGTACAAGACCAGGTAGGATGGTGCCTGAAGCAACCTGGGATAGTGGAAGGTGTCCCTGCCCATAGCAGGGGGTGGGATGAGATGAGATTTAAGGTTTTTTGAAACCAAACCATTCCATGATTCTGTGAATTATTCTACAAGGAACAGGCCAGGTATGGGTCAGAGTGATAAGGGACCACAGTCACAGATTCATGGTCATATTAAAGTCTTTGCAGCTTCAGGCTCTACTCAATAAATACCCCCAAGCAGATTTCCCACAGCTGTGGTTACAGAAAGGCAGCAGTCTGGGTACATGCCTTTGGTTCTTTCAGTCTCAGTGAGCCTGGAAAAGTCCTCAGACT